TCTGTGAATGAATCTGAAGTTGTTGGAACTGTTGAGCGGCTAAGATTGTTTGCATCGACTGATTGTTGTTGGAATAGAATTGCTGGTTTGATCCAAACGAACCATAGTTCATCGCTGCTGATGCACCGTTTGATCCAACTTGGCCTGTCATCACTTTCAGATGTTGGATTTCTTCCTTAAGCGCTTCGTTTAGTTCTGACAAAAAGACAGAAGTGGTTAACACCAAATGGTTATTGAAATTCTCCAAGTGGTGGGGAGTGCAAGTGTTTGTGATAAAAAAGAGACTCACCATCCTGCAAGTGAACTTGCTGCTCCATCGTTTGTAACCGCAGTTTCAGCTCGTTGTTTTCAACAGTCAAGCCATTTGTGTCTCTCTGAACAACCAGGAAGAAAAGAGCACAAGTTTGTTTAAACCCATTATAAATCGCAATACATCAACGAACACTAGAATGCTAGAACTAATTTCGTATAGCACGAAGAAAGAGTAACCATACACTGACTCAAAACTAACCTGTAAGAGAGTCAATTGAGCTGAGAGAGTTGTAGCCTCTGTTTGCAGAGTCTGTACTTTTCTCTCAAGCTCAAATATGTATCTCGTCTTCCTTTCTTTCGACCTTGCCGCGGACTGCCTGTTTGCCCATATCCTATCATATGAACACAAGAACAAATCATTCAAGAAGTTATGTGGAAGCGGTTGAAAGTAACTGTATGACTATTGTAGTATATAAAGATCGAAACCAAACCACCAAATATTCACCATTTTCATCGAAACCAGAGAAGCACAGAAGAAAAGTACCAAGGAAACTAATACCTCTTAGCACGTTTTGGATCGATGAGAGCAAGCTCAGCAAGTTTAGCAGCAGACATGGACTTCTTAGCATCAACCGCAGAATCATCTTCGTTTCCGGACATAAGCATATCAGCATTGATGTTCATTGAACCATCCATAGATAGACTATGTTGATGCCTAACTCTCGGTCTTTCGCCAAAACCACCGACCATATTCTGAGGATTCGAAGCTGATCCTGTATTCCAAGCGGTTCCTGATGGTTCACCAACTTGAGCAGAAGAAGAAGTAGCCGAAGAATTGAACTTATCCATATCAAGATACATAGAGAGTAAATCTTCTTCAGTCTCGTCAGAGTAAGAAGCTCCATCAGGAGTAGTACCAACAACACCAAGATCACTATCAAAACTCAAATCATCAGGAAGAGTAAGAATCTCTGAATGAGCTCGACGATGTCCAATCTTCTTCTTAGGTGGGTTTTCAAGCATACGGCTAATATCTGATGATCCATGAACTAAGTGACCAGTTTCTGAAAATGCAGAGCATCGACCCGAAGATGGAGATGGAGGAGGAAGACCGCCACCACAAGGTGCTGGAGATTTCTCTTTATCCATTTCTAGTGACCTTTTTTTCCAATAAAATCAACTAAGACCCTGCAAATCACATCACAAAATTGAAGCTTTATCAAGTGGGAAGAGTAACAGAGAAAAGTACAAGTTTTTTTATCCTAAACCCTAATTGAAAGTAGATCAAAAGAGACGACTTTGGGGACTTACAAGAAAAAACAAGATCTAATCAGCTTTTAGTAGTCTCCAGAAACTCAAAGAAGAATGACCCTTCAAAGAGAGAGAGAGAGATCCTAAGCTTTGGGATTGAGAAAAAACACGAATTTAAGAGGTAAAGAGGAATCTGAGAGGAGGAAATGAGAGAAAGGAAAGAGAGATGAGGAAAAAGCGAATTCGATTCTTATTAC